AGCAGGACATGTTGCTGTAAATAGCTTTACTTTTTCTTTTTTTCAGGCCTGAAGTCTGCCTTTCTACTTCTAGATCACACCTGTATCCCTCTTTTCTATAGTCTTATTTTGTTTGAGGTGAGGTTTAGTTAAATAATCCTTGTAATGATACACAGGCCTTGTAACAGGCGTGTTTCTGCTCCAGTAGTTGAATTTCAAAGGTGATAGAAGAGGATGTAGTTAGGCATGCAGGTTAGAATTTATTAAGTTTTGACAGGATGGTGTGTCCTAGCATCCTGTAACATTGATTTTTTGTTTGTTTCCGGGGAATGAATAGAAAATATGTAGGTTCCAAATGTGTTTCTCACTGCCTTAATTAATTCAGCTCTGTAATAACAGCAATGTTAGGTTAATGTTATTCCCTGTTCTGAAAGTACTTCATTTTAATGGTTTGTTCAATTTCTGTAAAAAGCTGAGAAGACAATGGTAGAAGATGATCTTCCATCTCCCAAGGACACTGATTCATCTGATGAGGTTGTAATAGTTTACGAGTTAATACCTACCCCTGAACAGAGAGCTCTCGCTGGGTTTCTCAAGTTACCTTCAACGTTCTTCTGTTACAAGAATAAGCCTGGATATGTGAGTGACGAGGATGATGGTAAGGAGTGCCAAAGTTGATCTTTGTTTGTCTTTCTGTGGGGAAGAGGTGTAATACACTGCACTGGTGTGGTCCCACCTTGAAGCACTAGGTGCAGTGTTGGGTACCTCAATATAAGGAGGACATGAAATTACTAAAGTGTGTCACGAGCAGAGTGACCAAGATGGTGAAAGACATCAAGGGCCTTTCAGACTTACATGGAGGGGCTGAGGTCAGTTTGTTTTTTCAGCTTGAAGAAGAGAAGGCTGTGAGGTGACCTCATCATAATTTACAGCTTCCTCAAGGAGGACAGTGGGAGGAGGAGGTGCTGATCTCTCTTTGGTGACCAGTGAAATGGAATTAAGCTGTCAGGGGAAGTTCAGATTGGACACTAAGGAAAGGGTTCACCAAGAGAGGGTCAGTCACTGGAATAGGCTTCCCAGGGCAGTGGTCATGACACCAAGCCTGTCAGAGTTCAAGGAGCATGTGGATGATGCTCTTAATCATATGGTTTAGCTTTAGATAGTCCTGTGAGGAGTCGGACTCAATGATCCTAATGGGTCCCTTCCAAATTGAGATGTTCGGTGATTCTATAGGTACTGTCAGAACCATTACACACTTGAATGTTTTTATTTGGACTGATGGGAAATAGTTCTGTCATCTTCCATATGGCCAAAGATATGCACTCAGGTCTTCAAAACAGTATGTTACAATGAAGGTCCAGGAATGACTAAAGGGTGTTTGTATTGTTGTCTTATGGGTCTTGACATGGTGTTACCAATGCAGTTGGTTAGGTAAGACTAAGTAATCGGATATTTTTGAGCCTAGTCTCATTTGCGCAAGAGGCTTCTCTATCTATTTTTAGAGATAAATACAAGGCAGTCTATCAAAAAAGAAAATATTCGAGTTCCCTAAATGCTAGACTACTATTTTTCTTGTGAAGCAAATTCTTTACACTAAAACTGGAAATATTTTATATAAAAACTTACTGCATCCAACTAAGTTACTTTTGAATTAATTTAGCAGCAAATATGTTAAATGGAAGTTCTGAAGCACTGTATTCAACCGAAAATGGGAGTGGTCAGGCCCCTTCCTACAAATGTCTGAGCTTGCTAGTTTTAATCTTCAGTCTCCCCAATTCTGTTTAGTCGTACTTCTAATAAAATCATCAGTAAGAAATGTGTTTCCTGAAAACAAAATCTGTGCCATGCATATAGGCTGAGAATAGTGTCAATAGCACACTGAAATATATGTCTGCCAAATAAGAAGTGAAAGCTTACTTGCTGACCTGTAGAACTTCTAAAACAGAAGCAATAAAGTTATGCACATTTACTAGGTTTGTGAGTCAGAAGCAAACTTCTCTGTACTTACTAGGATGATTGAGAACTTACACTTGTATCCTATTTTTAAGATGAAGATTATGAAACAGCTGTTAAGAAACTTAATGGAAGACTGTATCCCAGCAATTCAGAAGAGAAAAAGAAATTGCAAGATCCTGTGAAAGGTATGTCGAGATAAATAAAATTTATTATATACTGAAATATAGTCTCTAAATCTGAAGGACAACTTGTGCACTGATACAAACTTAGTTTTCTGGGGTGTTTTTAGAAGTACTGATGCTGGGAGCAGAAAAGCTCCATCTCAAAATACAACTTTAAGCTTTGTATATTGAACTGTTAGTTAGCAGAAAAGTAGTTTGTGAATGAGAAATGTACGTTATAGGTGCTTGCTAAACAAGAGCATCAGAGTGTCTTCCTACCTATGCATTCTACGAAGATTTCAGCTTGGTGTGATACCTTCCTTACAAGACAAAAGTTGTCTATTTCTGTGAATACTTGATACTTCTGCATGTAGTCAATTTAAATTAAGCTTATGAGCTAATATTGTCCAATTAAAAAATATTTGGTCTTTATAAAAAAAATACAGGTATAGAAGATTGAATTTGCTGCATTATGTTTATGTCTACTCTGGCTGTGCCTCAAACTTCAGAGTTGCATAACTGAAAATCTGGGTAGATACTTCTAGAAGTGAAGTTGGGAGCTTTTCTGAGGATATGTGCTAGAAAGAGGTGGTATGTATATATTCAGCCATCTGAAATAGGAGCAAATTTTGAAGGAAACTAGTAGTAGTGGCAGCCGCAAGATTGAACTCATCCTTGTCGCCTTGAAATTCCCTGATAACAATAGAAAACCAAATATGATGAGCTTCAGATTCTCTAGCTACCTTAAGTGGAGTTAAGTTAGTGTTCACTTCCACTGTTAAAACAGTAATGCTAGTTGACAAATTCTTCAAGTCTTACTTCAAGTTACTCTGACTACTCTTATTTTATAATATAGGTGCCAAAAAATACTTTGGTATTTAGCTGCCTTCCCAGCTCTTTTCCACTATTTTTTATGCTTTGTAATAGGCATCACAGGAAAAAGTGAATTTGACAATAAGAGAGAATGTGTTACTCCTTGGGAAAAGAAACCAACTCCTGAGGAGGAGGCTAAAGCAGAGACTCCTCAGGTTCCTCCTACATCTGTCTGTGGTGTCAGCAGTGATACCGAGGATGAGAGTCCAGAAGATGTTCAGACAGAAACTGAAACTGAAGAAACAAAAGTAAGAACTAAATCTTTACTAAACTTTTTGTCATTAAGCTTGTACAATTGCTTCATATATGTGCAAGACTTTACATAATTTTCACCTTGTGAGAACTAAAACACCCAGCAGTGAAAAACTGATGCTTGTGGCTATGCCTCAAGTCTTTGCCAACACTGCAACAGAAGCTTAGATCGGAAGTTCCTTGGGAAGAGAAAGGAGGTAAAACTGCTTCTAATGTATAAATAAGGACTAACTGATATCAGAAAGTAATAGTACTTTTCTGAAAGCATGCTACTTCAAAGATACTTTGGTTTCTTGTCAAGTTAATATCCAGTGTCTGTTAAAGGTAATGAAAACCTTAAGAAAGCTAACAATAATATTTTTTTTATCTTTTAGTGTTTTGTTCTGTTTTTTTTCTAAAATGACTGTTCTTAGTCTCCTGAGGAGATGGTTTGAATCCCAGGGTCTTCTAGATGATTTGCTCATTACTTTTTCATTAATCTTAGGAGAATGAGGTTGCAAGCTCAGCTGATGTAGTCTATATCAGTAAGGAAGAAGTACTTACTCCATCAACTGGTGAGGTGACAGTATTTGTCCAGTCAGCTACAGACAGTGAAGACCCTGATTCCACCACAGAAAGCGTGCATTTATCACAGACTTCATCAGGAGCTGATGACAAACCTGTAGACTTGTCAACTAAAAAAAGTGATTCAGACTGTTCAGAGTCAACACAAGGTGAGACCCAGGGGTATGTTCTGCCTTTTTTGTAAGAATTTAAAATGATCTACAGAAAAGCATATTTATGTAATGTAGTTGTTGCCTTGGAGAGAAGTAGTACCAATACTGAATTAGAAGCATGAGTACAAATCTAGTAAAAATGTGACTGGGGGTTACGATGATTATATAGGTCAAATTCAGGTGTGTTTAGATGGCACTGCTACAGAGCAGTGCTAGTGTCTGTTCTGTAATTTATATACAAGAGACTTTCTTTCATAATTTTACTGTTAAATAACACATGAATACTCACTAGAGCTCTGTGGATCTGCATAGAACTAGAATGCTGAAACTCTTTCACAGTCTTGAGCCCTTTCCTTAAACCATAATAAATTACTGTAATTATCATAAGTGTCTTGCAAACTTTAATTTTATTGGAACGCAAAAATGCCATAGACACTTCTCCATTTTATTCTTATGATTATATAACATTAAATGCAATTTCTTTAAGATAGAGAAAAAACTTTGACTTCCCCTTCTTATTTGTTAGACAACAGAGTCATCTCATTTGGTTTTGGCAATACTGCAGGCTTGTCATTTGCTGACCTGGCTTCCAAAAACTCTGGAGACTTTGCTTTTGGCTCAAAAGGTGAGTTAAACTAGTCTCTGAGACAGACACTCAGCTGGGTATCTGCTTCATACAGTACACCTTTTGTGTACATAATTTCTGCTCATTGATCAGGTTAACAACTTTTTTTTTGCAAGTTTTTGTCAGGAATAAAAAAATACACACAATTTAAAATGTAAATCTCTTAATTGTAGACAAAAACTTCAAATGGGCGAATACAGGAGCAGCTGTGTTTGGAGAGACAGCTCGTAAAGCAGATGAAGATGAAGGTGGTAGTGATGATGAGGTGGTACATAGTGATGATATCCACTTTGAGCCGATTGTTTCCTTGCCAGAGGTATGGGGACTTCTGGGATATATATCAACATTAACATAAACATGTTTGCCTACGTAACAAGATTTTTAAAAAATGCTTTGCTTAACTAACTTTGCTTTCTGTGTTGTGTGCTTTGTTCTGTATTTCTTACACTGCTAATGTAGAAAAACCTGTTGTTTTAAATCCTAGTACAGCATAGCACTGGGGAACTGGTCCATCAGTTAAAATCTTTCAAAGATTATTTCATTATACCTTGACTGAGTGCTTATCAGTATGTAAATTTGGACACAACTTGTAAAATCACAGAATCATAGAGGTTGGAAGGGACCTCTGAAGGTCAAGTCCAACCACCCTGCTGTAGCAGGAAGCTAAAACTGATTCATTATAGCACAACTGAGAACTAAGGGAGAGGAAACTGAGTAACCGTTAGTGCTAATGCAACTCATCTGGGGCTATGTAGCCATGACTTGTAAATTTAGTTCTGTGAAAGCCATGCCAACTTAACATTTTTACTGTAAGCTAGACAAGAGATTTCTGTAATCACTAAGCAGCAGAGATGTAGTACAGTTAACCTCACCTGAAGGTAAGGAAACTAACTTTGTTAGTTTGAAAATAAATTTTTAAAGAAAAAGAACAAACAAACCACAGCCCCCCCCAAAACAACCAAACAAATCACCCCTGAAGCAAAACAAACAACCAACCACCAAAAGCCACATGCAGCATCGCAAAGTAGTATTGCATAGCTATAATTAATCTCTAGCAGTGGAATTTATTTGGATCTTATATTAAAAGGCTAGCTGTTTTACTCATTTAGGTGTGTGGTGAATATGGTGTTGGAGAAAGGAAGATATTGAATAATTTTCCATTGTAATATGCCAGAATCATCATCAGTGTATGTAGTACTAGTTATATTGTTGGTGATGGGGAAATCTCTGGGAAGTCACAGGTACTCCACTGTGCTGTTTTCTAGGTGGAGGTAAAATCTGGAGAAGAAGATGAAGAAATTCTTTTCAAAGAGAGGGCAAAACTTTACAGATGGGACAGAGAGGCCACTCAGTGGAAGGAGCGTGGTGTTGGAGAGATAAAGATTCTCTTCCATACACAGAAGAAATACTATAGAGTCCTAATGAGAAGAGACCAAGTTCTCAAAGTCTGTGCAAACCATGTCATCACCAAAGAAATGAACTTGGTACCATCTGATACATCAAACAATGCATTAATTTGGACAGCCACAGATTATGCTGGTGAGTTGTTTAGGTTTTTTCTTTTTTTCTGGGTGGACTGCAGCTTTTTCTTTGCCTGGAGATTATAAAGGACAAGAGCAATTAAGTTCTGACTGTACTGAATAGGACTAACAAAACCTGTTCTTGGATTTATTTTCAGATGGTGAAGTAAAAGTAGAACAACTTGCAGTCAGATTTAAAAGCCAGGAATTGGCTAATTCTTTCAAGAGGAGGTTTGAAGAATGCCAGCTAAGCTTGTCAGAATTACAGAAGGGACACTTATCTCTGGCAGCAGGACTATCAAAGGACACCAACCCTGTTGTGTATTTTGAAGTTTCTGCTGATGATGAACCTTTAGGACACATAACCATGGAGCTGTTCTCAAATATCGTCCCGCGAACTGCTGAAAACTTCAGGGCCCTGTGCACAGGAGAGAAGGGATTTGGATTCAAGAACTCTAGGTTTCACAGAATAATCACTGACTTTATGTGTCAGGTAAGCATAATGGGAAAACTCTACATTCAGAGGATGAGGTGCATCTCGATTAACAATGGCACTTCAAAAATGACTTACACAGGACAGCATGTTCTTGTGGGTAGCATGATCTCAGTGTGAAAAATACTCTCATCTGCCCTTTCCCTAAACGGAGATGAGAAATCGTGCAGGCAGCACATGCTGCCCAAAGCCAAATGCTTTTTACAGGTGTCTGCCAGCTGCCTGATGCTTTAGTGTTTCCTAGTACTGCCATGCTAGTGTGGCAGCAAAAACTGAGATAGACATCTCCTCTGGCAATGGACAAGGGGCCTGTTGCTGAAGAGGAAGACCAAGGAAAGTAGGGTTCCCAAAATTACTGTTCAGCCTTCTCTCAGCAGAGAGGAACTTTGTATGCTTACCTGCAAAGAACACTTACTTTCCAAGTTTCTTGCATTTTGAAGTACACTTCATATTTCAGATAGCGTGCAAATATTCAAAATACTTTAGATGGACAAGTCTTCATCTAAAAGAAGTTCTCTAGATCTCATTATCATGCATTGGCCTGTTCCTTAAATACTTGACTAAGATTTTTCTCCAAGCGTTATCAGCCTGCGTATCTGAACCCCGCTGTGGACAGTGTTGGTTTTAAACTTCTGTGTGTGTTTAGTAGGACTAGCAAGTTCTTTACAAATGCTGAAGAGATTTATTGCTGCTCAGGTAGACCTTTACTAAAATTCTCATGAATAATTGAATGTCAGTTTTAGTGACTTGGAACAAGCGGAATGGCCCAACTTCCTTACACACTACATCAATGCTCTTGCATGTCGCTGCCTCCCTGAAGATGAGGCATGACAAACTGAGAAGTAGACAGTAATATATGAATGGCTTGTCACCAGAATAAAAAATTATCCAGTCTCTTGATATTAGGTATCACCTGTATCTGGTGTATTCTCTTTATGGCTTTTTTTATATAAAATTTTGTGCCTTTCTGATAAGGAAAAAGCAATGAGCAGACTTTCTTAAAACAGTCAATTGCTCAATGTTGTTCCCTGACTAAAAGTGATCTTTTCTTACATGAAATTAGTATATTCTAAGTTAGCTCCACTTTGTCTGTGTTTTCTCTGGGTACAGTGAGAAACTTCAATGAGAATTAAGGCTTTCTTTCAAAGATGTGATAACCTGTACCGTCACCTTCGTGTGTCTGTAGTCAAAATAAACAAGCCAGAAGCTTGCTGCCTTGCAGAAAGACAAAAGACTACTTACAAGTAGTAGCTGTGGCAGTAATGTGGCAAAATTGCTACCTGCACAAAAGCAAGAAATTGCTGATCATTGGTACATTACCTTTTTTCAGGTGGTCAATTCTGTGCTCGCAGGGACTAAGCAAGGACAGGCCCTGCATGAGGAAACAGGTCCCAGCTATCAGGGCCAAGTGATGCAGGAAGCAGGCCATGGAAAAGACAGGCCTAGGACTTCTCACCATGTAGAGCAGAGGATAAAATGCTGTGTTCAGAATAAACAAAGGATAAACTTTCTGCTTCCATGAACAAAGCTGCTGAGGCTGGGAAGCCCTATATCTAAGTAAATATGGTACTTGTGAAAACTAAGAATGTGCTCTTCTAAAGCAAAGTCTTTACTGTTGAGAAGGAATATTATTGTGCTGTTGGTTTATTGTTTGGCACTTGAAAGTTAATGCTGTACTTTTCTTTTTTTTTATTTCAAGGGAGGTGATATAACTAACCATGATGGTACAGGTGGAAGATCAATTTATGGAACAGCATTTGAAGATGAGAATTTTGAAGTGAAACACACTGGTCCCGGATTGCTGTCAATGGCAAATAAGGGCAGGGATACAAATAATTCTCAGTTCTTCATAACACTTAAAAAAGCAGAACACTTGGACTTCAAGCATGTAGTATTTGGGTTTGTCAAAGATGGAATGGATGTTGTGAAAAAGATTGAATCCTTTGGTTCTCCTAAAGGGCTAGTAAATGGAAGAATTGTCATTACAGACTGTGGGCAAATATAGCTATTGCATTGAGTATGCAGATGGTTAGCAGTATGAATTGGTATTTACATGTTATTGACTATAATTATTTCAGCTTCTTAAAATGGACACTTCTGATGTATAAATGTAAAATTACACCTTATAGTTGGCTTTTCTATGTGTTCTAATTGATTTTTTTTGCATGTTAATAAAAAGTTCAGACACTGGTATATTTCAGGTGTATTTGTGTTATCCTGACCTATTTGTATTAAATGTCAGATTTTAAAAATAAAATCTTAGTCTTGTTAAAATAAATGTCTTGTCTTCACTCTGGTTTATTTAAAAAAACAAAACAAGCTTGCCTTCTTTGGCTTCCTGCTTTTATAAATCTCTGCCTTAAATATGAATATGGTAAGTGCTAATTGCTGGTCAGTAAACTGAAAGCCTTTGAAACTTACTGCACTGATGCATAGGAACAAGTTGAGGCAGCCGGTAGATGCTGGTATATGCTGTTCAAGGTCTCTAAAGAGCACTTGAATGTTTAAATTCTCATATTTTTCTTTTTTTTTTTTTTTTGTAGGGAAGTGTACCAATTTTTTTTTTTTGGAACGGCCAGTGTTTTTAAATTCTAAGTTC